TGTTTCAGCCTCTTAATGGTTCAGATGTCTGAATGATTAAGAGATTTGCCTCTGAATGGTTAAGTATTATACAGAGTCTGAATGGTGAATTGATTCAGCACTTAATGGTTCAGATGTCTGAATGATTCAGCACTTAATGGTTCAGATGTCTGAATGATTCAGCACTTAATGGTTCAGACTGTTTGTTTCAGCCTCTTAATGGTTCAGATGTCTGAATGATTAAGAGATTTGCCTCTGAATGGTTAAGTATTATACAGAGTCTGAATGGTGAATTGATTCAGCACTTAATGGTTCAGATGTCTGAATGATTCAGCACTTAATGGTTCAGACTGTTTGTTTCAGCCTCTTAATGGTTCAGATGTCTGAATGATTAAGAGATTTGCCTCTGAATGGTTAAGTATTATACAGAGTCTGAATGGTTAAGAGCTGTTATCTGAATTGATCAGACATTTGCCTCTGAATAGTTAAGCAATATACTAGCTCTTAATGGTTCAGACCTCTTACTGGTTCAGCACTTAATGATTCAGACCTCTTACTGGATCAGCACTTACCATTCAGAAGTTGCCAAACAGCCCCGTAGTCTTCGATGATTTGGATTAAGATTTTTTTTAAAAAAAAATTGTTTATATTTTATTCAATAAATTTAAAAAGTCATAATGACTTTTAATACTAATTCCTTATGGTTTATTCTAGTATAATTATAAACTTTTTCTATCTACTTAAACACTTTAAAAAGTAAATACGAAGTACATTATTTATATACAATCTTTATTAAAAATCAGCATTCATTTATGTCGGGTCAGGTTTAGTCAAGTATTGGATGGGTTGACCCAAACCATTATCCATTTAAAGTTTTTTTAATAGATACAAATTCAAGTTGGATAAACAGATATTAAATATACTATAAGAAAATTCTTCGGTGGACTTAAGGTTCATAGTCATTATATTGACCTCAATGCATTTGTATTATAAAAAAGTAGACCTTTTCAAAAGAGAAATTATCCACATGTAAGCTCATAAAAATGTGAGAAAGACTTAGGAACTATGTAAACACCACTTTGTACTATATACACGCAAAATGTCAGGTTTTTGTGTGAACCATTGAGAGGCATAGTCACAAGATGTTACAATTTGGTTTTGAATAACCATTCAAAAATCAGCAAGAATAATGCATGGTTTTAAATCTGTTCTTAATGATAATATCTAATATTGCAACGAATAATATGTTAAGATATGTTTAAAATTTGTAGTCACAATTTTGTCTTTACTTACTAAATATACTTGTCTTTTTCAATGGTATGTGTGAACTTTCAACTGAAAGAGATGGAGCATTACACATAATATGGGAAAAGAGCGGAAAAGGGACTAAAATATACTCCGTAGTAAAAAGATGAAATAAAACCAAAATATGATTTAGAGCATATGCAGCAGCGAGGTCTTCCTCTAACTCGCCCTGCCACATCAGATACTTCCTCGATTAGCAAGGAGAAGAATGGGCATTCCACCACGGTGAGCGAGGCATGTGCAAGGCAAGTAGGTTCTTTTTTCCTTTTTTTTCCTTTTCTTTTTTTGAAGAAATGGGGTATAGCAACTAGCAATCACTGGAATAAGAAGAAAAAGGGTATGGACGGATTGATGTTTTTTATACAAAAATGCTTTTATTTTTTGTAAGGCATTTAAATAAATTAGATAACATATTTTTAAATTTTTTTAATAAGGAAAAGTAATTTTTTTAATCTTTTTGAATAATAAGGAAAAACAATACTTCTATTTTTAAATAAATGTTATAGAAGTATTTTCATGATCAAATAAATAATTAAAATCATTTTTATTAATTAAAATACATTAAAAAGGTGTAAAAAATAATAAAAAAAGTGACTTGCCATTGTAAGGCATGTAATTCCACTCATTTGCCACACGATGACTGGACTGATTTTAATTGGCTAAAATATTCCACATCATGGTGTGGCATTCCATTTTCTTACTTGCCATTGTTCATGCTCTTATATTCGCGTGTAATACTATGAATACTGTGAAATGTCAATATATAATATCGCATTGTTATGATGTAATAATCTTATTCTAAAATAAAAAGAATGTTGGCTAAATAGCTCCGGCGTCTCATGCCGTTTGAAAAATAGACATCAATATATCTATCAACTTTTAAAAACATTCATATAAAGTTCTCATGGTTTCAAAAGATTGCATGTATGTCTCTTCTCTTGCTTCAATCTACTTTCAATCTACTGATTCTCTGGTGTTTTTAAATGGATCCGACCAATATTGATAATGGTATAGCAGCGATTTCTCTGGACAACGAGGATGAAGATGGTTTGGTCTTTGGCGATGAAATTGGGGACTCATCAATTCAGCAGCCGGCTTACGATTTCTGCCTCGTGGGCCGGTTCCTTACAGAGCGTCCGGTCAATTTTGTGGCGATGAAGAATACGATGGCTTCTCTGTGGCGTCCGGAGGAAGGAATGGTGGTGAAGGAAGTGGGCGCAGGTTTGTATATCTTCCAATTTGGTGCATTGGCAGAGATGGAGCGGGTAATGGAGATGTGTCCGTGGTCTTTCAATAACCAAGCGCTACTCCTAGAACGACTGGGTAGATCTCAAGATCCCTCCGAGGTGTCGCT